ACTGTGATTTCGATATGCCAGAACGTCCTTATATTTTTGTGGTAAGTCAATTTGTATTCATTCAGTCTATCCGGCTTCATTAGCCATTTCGATGCCATTTAAAAACATTAATGATTGGATTCTTTTTTTTCTGCACTGTGATTGTTTGGATAATTTATGATAAATATGATAGTTATGATAGTTAATGATAACGAGCAATAATAACAACTAGTACATTCTGCAATAGTTGATACGAAGGTGTATTTCCAGGTATATCGGAGTATTCGGTGATATATCCAGACCGGTGTTATCAGCTGGATTACCGTATTCCTATTCTTTCTTTTTGAAACACACTCCATCTTGTGGAGCGCGGTTCGACCTGCAGAGGTGCATGTTTTCACTATACTTTTTCCCTGTTCAGCTATTGGGATGTTTCTCTGCCCATTTGGATACGCCATGCACAAAGCTATAAATGTTTTTTTGTTAACAGCCATATTTTCAGATCGAAATGGGTACAGTTGCCATGTATTGTACCGTATAATCAAATCGAAGCCGGTCAAGCTCTTCTGCATATAATTCTTGCCGGTATCACGCTAATTCTCAGTATTGTGGTTGTATTGGAAAGAAAACGTGATAAAGATCGATTGAAACCTCCTCAATCTGTCCAATACGCACAGATTAAGCGTAATCAACTGCCGCCTCCATTGACTATTAGTGAACTTGGGTACGTGACCATTCCCGATGACAGCCACGCCCATTAAGCTAGCCGTTTCCAGGAGCGGCTACGTGAACTCGTCCAGCGACGACATGACGACGACAACTGTAACTCTACCTGAGCAACGAGTCGTTCCTCCATTCTCTTATGAGCGACATAATCGTAATAAGCGAGCCAGGATACGACCAAACTCGATGGTATGCATTGGAATGTTGAGATTTTTCTAATTCCGCTAGTAGTGAACGAGTTAATAGCTATGATAATTGATGATAATGAGCAGTAATGACAACTAGTACATTCGGCAGTAGTTGAAACGAAGCTACATCGTTTTGGAGGCATCCAACCGTGGCAACAGGCCAACAGTGAAAAACCTTCGTAGGGAATCTTATTTGAACAGTTCGCAACATTGGGTTATACCTCGAAATCCCGGGCTATAACTACTTCAATAGTTCAATAGTGGTCCCGCTGAGAAGACCATCAGCCGATGAGCCATCAAAGTATGTAAGTAAATAAATAGGTAAGCAAGTAACCTTTAGAACTCAGAACTGGAGGAAATTCTAACTGTTACTGTAAGAATGATATCGCTCTTTTTGATTTTCCTGCAAGTTTTTCGAGTTTGATGGCGTCAATCCACTGTTCCATCGATTGGTCAGGAAGATCAAAACATCCACGCGCCCGTTTTGTGGATCTGTAGACCAAGAGTAAACCTTCATGGCAATTTAGTGCTATTTCATAAGTGTACCAGTAGATCTCTTGATACTGATCTTAGCCATGAGGTTCCTTTATCCTTCGCGACAAGATGGGATAGTGCCGTTGAGTTGGTGTTGGGTTAGTGAAATGTACCATCAAAATAAAATCCAGTTTTTTGATCAGCGGAACCTGCTTACCGGATTACTTTTTGCAAATCCCTCTGAGTGGAATAATCGTATGCTCCACTTTTAATTCCGAGCTCTAGTATCCCTTCTAGAATAACAACCGTAAGCTTCCTGTTATCAATCGATCTGAATTTATTTTTAGCCACAACCATATATCGATCAGTACTCTTGCATGACAGCTTCGGAGAGAGAAAATTTTTCTACGAAACTACCGACAAGAAGATCAACATCCAGTGTTACAAATGGGCGTTTCCGAAAGTCATCCGATCAACCGAGTCGAGTCATGATGCATGAGGTAATGGCAGTTTAAAATCTCTACCTAAGAATTTTTTCTTACTATTTTCCAATTTATCGGAGTAACGTCCCTATAAAGTTGTAGTTTGCAATGCTCAAAGTTAATGGTTTAGCGAAAAATGCGATTTTCAGGACCTTAAAGTAGACGACGTGCCAAATGAGCAGGAGTTTGGCAGGCCGCCAGGTACACTGACGTCACTGATCAGCTTCGATCCGAAAAGCCGAACATTGCTACGAGTACGTGAGCACAGAGAATCAGACGAGGATGATGCTGAGGGCTATAGTCGAATAGGGAAGGTGAGCGATACACAGTACTGAAGAATGAGCCTTTCCAGAATGCGCCTGGCACACGACCTCCAAACAGAATTCAGAGAGATTTGGAAGTATGTCCTTTGCTGGCTACAGGGTCCGCTCCTTTGAGTAAATGCTTGAGGCTTTAAAAAGCGGTCCAATGACCTTATAAGGTGGAATGTTTCGCTGATTTGTACCCAATATACTGATTACAAGTTATATATATCTTTATTTATTTGGGCTTGGACATTGCAAAGCCCATCGGCTATGGGTGTAACCAGTTTCGTCCACACTGACCATCCCTTTTATTTGGTCGTAACTAAAACTAAAGTAATCAGTGAGCACAATAATCGGAATTTGCTTACGAAAATCCTTGAAAATGATATATTTCAGGAATGTCCAGTGGACAGCGGACTGTATGAGCGTATTAGCGTCAGACCAAGGGATCGCCCGACCGTGTTCCCAGCTCTACAAAAACCTGACAAGTCAAGGCTACAGGATCTTAGTCACAGCCACGTCAGTTCGGTTTATTCACTTTTCATTCCATATTGAATCGAAAAAGGACAAATAGAGGTGGGATCAAGTGGATTTCCAGGCGCTCGTCCTCCTCGATCGCTTTTTTAAGTCTGGGAGCGTCCGGAGAGGAGCATGGAGAGGGTGTATGACGAAGATTGCAACTTATGGGTTAAACGCTTGGTCTCTGCCCCTTACTTCTGCTTTTACGAGGATAGGGTTCTTTATCCAT